TGGTGGCAAGAAGTGCACATGGAAATTCCGCGTAAGTTCTTTAAGTGAGAATTTAACACTGGTCTCCCCTAGAATATCAATTAACCTTAATTTTAATTATTTGATACACAGATATTTTTTGTTCTCTAACAATATGCATATTTATTGTTATAAGAAATACAGCAGCTTTGATTTATGAATCTGCTTGATTTCATCTAAAACATTTTCCCAGACTTCTGTCGATTCAAAGTTGAGCATCCAGTGTAACGACTTCAATATGCAACAGTCAAGACAATGCAGAAAGGATTTCTTCCGGGTCACGGATTCCTCTGGTTTTAAACAAAAGTAAATACCACCATGTAAATATAGCAGTAATTGTTTCTATTAACTGCACATTCTAGAGGGAAGAGGTATTTTGCAGATTGACCACTATTTCACTGTGCATATTGCAGATACTGCGGTGCCAAGGGTTCTCTGAGCGTTTCTGATAAATCTAGGAGAGTTACTGTTTTGTTCAAAACAAACAGGAAGAAATCTGATACAGGATTTTCCTGCTCTGTCAGAGCTTCAGGTAAAGTTAATATTTCCAGTAACTGAGGAACATAGAAGTCTTGAAATATGGATTCATGTGCACATCTCCCAATTCCGCATAATGACTTCTTTATGCAATATCCTGTACAGTGCCAGACTCCCAAACAACTGTAGACCCTCAGCCAACTTCGGAATGCAGTATGTATTCATCCTTTCTGTGTTTAGGACAGAGATTGTTATAACTTCCTTTGTGAAAATGTTAATAGTAAACCTAGTGGTTGCTCTGATAACAATGGAAAATATCCCTAGTTGGACTATAATAATGAAAACAATATTCATATATACATGCCAGAGTTAAACATTCATGAGTCACAATCCACAGTATAATACAGAAACGTCTTACCCGTAGCTGGATGTGGACAAGTGAACCGTGCCAACCGCATTGTTGGTGGAGTAGAGACGGAGGTGAACGAATATCCCTGGATGGTTTCTCTTGTCAATGGCAATGGATACTATCACTTCTGTGGCGGTTCTATCATCTCCAGCCAATGGGTCGTCACTGCAGCTCACTGTGCAGCTGTGTAAGTAGCTGTTAATGAACAAAAATGCTTTCCTCTTACTGTTACATATACATTAAAAAAAAAAAATGTCCTATTATTTTTACAGCATGAGCACTTCGGATTATGTGTTGGTGGGAGACCACAATCTGTACTCATCAAGTGATGCCAATTCTCAGTGGATGCAGATTGCTGAAGTAAGTGAAATGTCCCCACTTCATCATAGAACAAAATCATTGAATTCATTCGTAAATATTTTTATAAACATACAAAAGTAAACAAGTACCAAACAAGTGATATAAACAATTAGTGAAAAAAAACATGCATCCTTCCGAACAGATCGTGAGTCATCCGTCCTATGATTCTAATACACTGGACAACGACATTGCCCTCATCAGACTCACCACAGAAATACAGTTCCCATCTGACAACAAAATCGCCCCTGTGTGCCTTCCAACAGCTGGTGAAATGTATGATAATGTGGATGCCACAATCACAGGATGGGGAGCCCAACAGGAGGGTGGGTACTGATATTCGCGATATTTGTATATATTTTGTATTATGTTATAGAAAAAAAAAAACTGCCTGCATTCTCATACAATACATTTAACAGGAGGATCCACATCCGGCACCTTGTTCGAAGTTACAGTGCCCACCATGACTAACACCGAATGCAATAACAAGTATGGAGGAAGCATCACTGACAACATGATCTGCGCAGGCATTCCTGAGGGAGGCAAGGACTCCTGTCAGGTATGTTCTCCCTTTCTTTAAGATGTAAATACTAATTATGTTATCTGCACGCATGCCATTCCTTTCGATATATTCTACACAATATATCTGAATGTCACAGGGAGACTCTGGAGGACCAATGGTGGTGGAAGAAAACGGCAAGTGGAAGCTGGTGGGAGTTGTGTCGTGGGGTAATGGCTGTGCTCGACCTGATAGGCCCGGAGTTTATGCAAGAGTTACACGTGAGTAAATTGTAGTTTACTAATGAATCAAGTTGTACAGTTCAATAACCCAACGCAACTCAAGATTGCCATGAAAGAAAACTATATTTTACCTGTGAGCTACACTAGCACGTTACCTGTTTATGACTGACAGTTTGCCATACCATCGATGTCGTTTCTCTTCCATTATGAACAATAGTCAAAATCATAAAAAAAGACATAGTGTATAGGGATCAATTGTGCCTTCAAATCTAAACAAAGTTTGTGCTTGGTCAAGGGTCAGTTAAGCAAAGATGGAATCACTCTGTTTACCCACTGACTACGGATTTATGTACTCTGAATTTGGTTACATACAGATGGCTCCACATGTACTCAGTCAACAAGGAGTGTATCAGTAGATCCTAGTGATCACTCCTAATTTCCCAATTCCTTAAAACTGCGGGAAAATATGTATTAATATCGATACTGTTATTATTCTTATTGATATTTTGATCATTAAATTGTTATTAAAATCTTGGTAACATTAAAGACAGTGAAATGATACAAAAGAAACAGTCCAAAAATTAAGGAAAAGGGTAAGTAGGTGAGATAGGTAGCAGTAATTGATTCCTTGGTGAATAAGCACTCATAGAGCCATCAGTGTGTAAATACAATAAATGAACTTATATTATAGTGGACATGACATTCATTCTTGCCATCCGTGCTGATTGGAATCTTTAATACATGTCTAGGGCTGTAGTCATTAACACATGCATCTGCATTCATAAATGAAAGCATTACAGTATTTTTTGTCTGTCACCATATATGAAAAGAATGTGAGAATTTATGTTCTTGCTATTAATATGTTGATATATTTTCCTTGTCCGTATGAACAAATAAATATTTTTTTCGTCAGAATATTTGCAATGGATTTCTGACTCTACAACCGGTGTCTGTGTTGATGGGAACGCACCTGCTCCTACTAATGCCCCGACGCCTGATCCTACTTCTGATTCTGACTGCCGTATGTAAAAATAATGTCATATTAATCTACAAAATACCATGCTACTAGAAAAAAATTTACAGAGGCATTTGTTCCAAATATGAGCATATCAGTCTAGCTTGTTGATGAATTAGCAGAAAATCCACTAGGCACTAAAGTTGACTGATGTAACTTGATGGATGGATAATTTTTGAAGTGTGTAATATTCCATTTTCAAAATGTCTTATTTTACGAGAGTGGTTTTGAGTGTTTTATGTTATACAGACAATCACTTGTACATCCACAGCTGGATGTGGACAAGTGAACCGTGCCAACCGCATTGTTGGTGGAGTAGAGACGGAGGTAAACGAATATCCCTGGATGGTTTCTCTTGTCAACGGCAATGGATACTATCACTTCTGTGGCGGCTCTATCATCTCCAGCCAATGGGTCGTCACTGCAGCTCACTGTGCAGCTGTGTAAGTAGCTATTAATAGAGAAAGAAAGAAAGAAAGAAAAAACATTCTACTCTGAAATGTACAAAAAATCTATTATATTTACAGCATGAGCACCTCGGATTATGTATTGGTGGGAGACCACAACTTGTACTCATCAACCGATGCCAATTCTCAGTGGAAGCAAATTGCTGAAGTAAGTGAAATGTCCTCAGTTTATCACAGACATTGTAAAAAAGTGAATCGATTTGTAAATATTTTTCTAGACTTATATTTTCAAGAAAAACCAACTATCAAAAAGTGAAATTAACAAATGTAATATACATTCAACAGATTGTGAGTCATCCGTCCTATGATTCTAATACACTGGACAACGACATTGCCCTCATCAGACTCACCACAGAAATACAGTTCCCATCTGACAACAAAATCGCCCCTGTGTGCCTTCCAACAGCTGGTGAAATGTATGATAATGTGGATGCCACAATCACAGGATGGGGAGCTCAACAAGAGGGTTAGTATTGATTTCTGTTCCAAATTTATTTTCAGTATGTAAGTTATGTGAAAGTAGAACAAAAGTAAGGATTGATTTGCATATATACATTCAATGCATTTGGCAGGAGGATCCACATCCGGCACCTTGTTCGAAGTAACGGTACCCACCATGACTAACAATGAATGCAATAGCAAGTATGGTGGAAGCATCACTGCCAATATGATCTGCGCAGGCATTTCTGAGGGAGGCAAGGACTCCTGCCAGGTATGTTCATTCTTCATCCTTTCTTTTTAAAGATACAAATTGAACTTGTCTATTTTGATACATGACATTCCTTTCGATATATTTTACACAATATATATGAATGTTACAGGGAGACTCTGGTGGACCAATGGTGGTGGAAGAAAACGGCAAGTGGAAGCTGGTGGGAGTTGTGTCGTGGGGATATGGCTGTGCTCGACCTGATAGGCCCGGAGTCTACGCCAGAGTTACACGTTAGTGTTCAGCAGTTACTTTTAGAACTGGCAAGCAGTTTTCAATAAGGCTCTAAAAACTTAAATCAATTTTAAATGACGAGGTTCTTTATTTCTATTAAGGATTAATCTTTTGTGGCAAGTTGGATATTTTACGGGAAATGCTAACAAACGGTTGTTTCCTTCTCTTCAGAATACCTTGATTGGATTTCGACCTCGACCGGAGGTGTCTGTCCGGCGGCTGGTTAATCCGTCCATTGAATAGGCTAATAGAAGCCTAAGCTGGTCCTTAGACGGCATAGACAAGGAGTTGAGTTGCGGATATACTACCTTTATTACTTACTTTCACGTTTTCTTTCATTTGGCACATTTAAGAAAAGAAACACCTTTTTTGAAATAACTAAAATATCCGGAAGTGACAATAAATTGAGTATATTTCGATTTGTTTTAGTGATCGTCCATACCACAAGCACCTATTGCCGTCTTTGGTAGCGTACGAAGTCCGTGATAGGAGTTCTATTTCATACATCCACTGACCCCTTTGCCTTTGGGTCTCAAGTGTTCATACCTTATTAAATGTTCTTTTGTTTGGAAACAAAGACAAAACATTTATTTTTAACCATGTATAGTAACCACAACGAGCGTGAAACATAAATCGGCCCGCATTTATTTTTGTATTGTTTTCATAAAACTGTATTAGTTTTCATTCACACTATGGAGGAAGCTTCTTACCCTAATAATACCATTACACGCATCTTCCTATTGCAGTAACGACCTTGTTTTTTTCGACATTATATGTTCATATTTATTTAGCTCAATTAATATTAGAATTCATAATATTCATTGCTATCAAAGCTATATTACATGTTCAGATTTCTGAGACATACACTATTCACAATATACAAGATCACATGTGTTTGAAAGGAAAGTTTACAAATATTCCAAAACGAAAAAAAAATCATGGTTCATTATTATCTCGATACAGAATGATCTTGAAATATATTCAATACATTACTGTAGGGAAATATAAGCACAACCAGGCTGTACTGTACACTAGAAATGAGGGTAGGCCTCTAGTAACGAATTTCAATTTGGAAGTTTGGAGCTTAAACGATAAAGTAAAATAGCACAACGCATTGCTGAAACCCTGAACGCCTTTCCTAGCTGATATCCAACGCGTTTGTACTTTCCTTGTACTACCAATGCCGGCTAATGTTAATCAACATTTGCATTCCCCAACGTGTAATGTTGATTAAAGAAATTATTTTTGCAGAGCACAATATATCAGTGAGCACATTTTTTTTTTATTGTAAGTCATCTTTGGTACAGCAAGAAAAGCTCTCTCTTCCATAGCGAGAATGAAAACCAATACAATTTTACGAAAACACCACCATGGTAACAAAAAAAAAAAAAAAAAAAAAAAAAAAAAAAAAAAATGCATATATACACATATTGTATACATATATATTCAAAGAGAGAGAGAGAGAGGAAGAGAGAAAGAGGGAGAGAAAGAATGGGAATGTCTCTGGACAAATCTTGAGTGGTCCCTTGTGTTGTTATGCTATTGTTGATACTTAAGCATATTATTTGAAATGAGGTGTTAGTTTTTTCCCCAATTCGTCTTATGCCTGGCAGCGCATTCAACAGCCAACCAGCGTTTATGACGAGCAATAACGTCGTCAGCAAAGGCAGCTGCAAAGTGTGCTTCTTGTGTTTAGATGTCAATGCATGTTATTGTGAAACTGAGGAAACATATTGACATTGTACCCCATGCGAAAGCCATGGAGCCATATAGCAAACTACATTTACTATAGTTATAATGAAATGTTTTTAGTTATAAAAAACATTATTATTACTATTTCTAAAACATACGGTGTATTATGTTGGCGGTTTCATGTCTTCAATGATAAAAGGATAATTATGACTATCGTGAGATATGCACAATACGTTCTATATATTGCCTAACCAGTGGGCTCTCCCCCTGGACCCCCGTGGTGTTATATGCACCTAGCATATAATACCATATAATATCTGCCTCCTCCTTTACCTAGCGAAACACAAAATTTTTCTTTGCTTCTGTCTATGGTCTGAATTACTTAATTTCATTTGAGGTGTTTGATGGGCTTAGATATCAAGCTGTGATCGATACTAACGTCTATTTCTTCTGTATGGCCACAATATTGCTTTAAAATAATCCGGTTTTGACGAACACTTATACGAAGACATTCCTCGCCGGCGTTTGTCACGGATTTTACTCAAGGCCTTGGTTCTAGTCTTGTCTCTTTCCGTCCTTGACCCTGTATATGTGTTTCTTTGTCTCCTCCTATCCTCAATTTTAGGTTGTTTACTTTGTTTCAAAATTATTGATTACTTGTTTCATTATTTTTGGCCAGCTCTCTCAAGGAGCATGAATAGGACAGTGAAGTGTCCCTTCTGTCCACTAGCTTCCACTAGCTACCTGTTTCCCTCCCCTGCTAGGGTCCAGCTCAGCTGATATACCGATTGCCTGACCAAGGGTTGATTTGATATAAGATTGAGAGCATTTCACTTCTACTCATGTGTACAGGTATTCAGCTCATATCATGTAATGATATGAGTTTGGTGAAGAGGAAACGTACATGATGTATATACTGTGCACCATAATTTTCCTAAGGTATTGTGGCTTCGTATGATAACGCTTCTTGTGCTATTAATATATTTAATGTGTTCTGAGCATATTTTATTATCTAAATGAATAATGGTATTACATTTAGATATTATCCTATAACATTGTTATGATAAGTACTTTACCAATTCAAGGAAATGAACAATTGCACAGTCATTTATCTACTCATCTGCCACGCCGGCGTATAGCTTGGGCGTGGAAAAGTATTAAAACATTTGATATGCAGTCATGTGATACATTCCAAATTTAGGATACAACATAATTATATCTTCTAGGACATCAGATGATATGAAGTAGTTACATAGTTCTCCGTACCTCATGCTAGGTGGTCTGAAAGGCTGTAGCACATGGCACTCTGAGATATAATGTACAAGTGTTCGCTTATATTTTTCATTACACAGTTTACACTTAGTTTCTTCGACATTACAAGCTGTACTGACCTGCCAATACATTCTATATCCAAGCCTGATTCTTGCAGTCACAACATCACATTGTCTTGTTCTTGTTTTATATAAACCATGTCAGAGTGCTTTATGCTACAGCTTTCGGGGCGTTGAGAATTAATTAATTCAGTCAAGTCCTCTTTGAAGGAAGCTTTAATGGTGTATAAAATGCTAGAAAGAGGTAACCCAAGATCTATATCTACACTTTGTTTGTCACATGCTGACTTAGCTAGGCGATCAGCATGATCATGCCTAGGGATTCCAACATGCGATGGGATCCACACAAAACGTATATTATGGTCTCGTTCTTTTGCACGATACACGTTTATCCTGATGTCATTTGCAATATTTCCCGCAACTTTGTCTAGAGTGTTCAGAGCCTGGAGAGCACTCCGTGAATCACAGAAAATGACCCGAGCCTTGATTCAATAGAAATTCGGTGGCCATGAGTATTCCTGCCAACTCAGTCTGTGAAGTGCTAGCCCAGTCATGAACCCTCCTACAATCCTGGTGCTGCAAAATGCTGTTTTTATATACAACAAAAGCGCATCCTGCTCTGCTCCCAGATTGCAAGGATCCGTCAGTGTAGCATTCATATGCATTGGGCAGAGTTTCTAGATGCTCACTTATAATTGCAAGTGCATACTGCTTAAGTATAGCAGGGGGGGCAGTTGTATAATATACACTTAGGTCAGACATTTTCCACGGTGGTACTGAACGTCCATGTAGGGTCTTAGTTATGGGTATGTTCAGCCGAGCTAAGTGTTTACATGTTACTTGTACCCATGGATTTGAATATGAATCGGTGTTGTCATTCAAAGTTAGCTCTTCTATTCTGTGTTTTAGTTGTCTTTGGAACTCTGTACAGTGGGGGGGTTCTCTAATAGATTTGACACTGAATGTGGTATTTATGTATAATATTCTTTCATAAAGAGAAGGCAAATTAATTAATCCTTGTTGTTCTAGGGGCACCAAGAATGATCCTCATGGCTTCATTTTGTACACTTTCTAAACTAGTCAACTCTGATTCCTTGAACAATACTAGGTGTAATGCATGGTAATCTATGACCGACCTTATGTATGACAAGTAAAAGAGTCTCGCAATATTGACATTAACACCATAGTCTTTGCCGACAAGTGTTCTGAGTGGCTTCAGCCGCTCCCATAGCCTTTTCTTCAGGTTTCTGATGAATTCTGAATCATTAACAATCACCCCGAGGTATCTGTATTGGTGGCAGAGATCTAGCTCAATGCCACCAATATGAAACCTTGGCAGAGGGATTGTCTTTGGGTTAAGTGCCTTGTTTTTTTTCAGTTGAGATTATTAAACCACACTCAGTAGCCCTTGCAGAAAGTATATCAAGAATCTCTTGCATTCTCTCGTCAGATGAGGATTTAATGCAGATGTCATCGGCATAGCAAATAATGGAGTCATTGCCTGCAAATAGTATATCGCCCAGTAATCTATGTATTAGGATATTAAATAGCATGGGACTAAGTACGCCTCCGTGAGGTGTGCCGAGTTCAAATACATTTGTATGAGTGCTCTTAATGCCCCTGAAGAGAACCTGAGACGATCGATTTCATAGATACATTTGAATCCATGTTAACAGTTTTCCCTGAATACCAAAGCTAGCTAGTTGCTCAAGGATAATTTCCTTGTTTGCAATATCAAAGGCAGATTTAAGATCAAAGAATACGGTTTGCATGCCTGGGTTTGAGTTTGTTAAGTACTCTGCAAAGCAGTGCTGACTACTACGCCCTGGGAGAAATCCAAACAGTCTGGGGGATAACTTTGCATTTATGCGATACATGAGCCTGCTCAGAATTATTCTCTCAAGTACTTTGCACAGACAGGAGGTCAGGGAATGGGTCTGTATTTGTCAGTATTGGGTTTGGATATAGGAATGATTAAGCTTTTAGTCCAGGAGCTTGGGAGGATTCCTTGTGATAGGCTGAGTCTACACAGGTGTAAAAGTGGGTTGCCTGGCACCTGAGCAATGTGGCGAAGGACGCTGTAAGTAATGCCGTCCTCGCCTGGGGCGGTTGCCTTACCTTTCAGAAGGGCATTGCTCAGTTCCCACTCGGTTATTTCGACAAAGTCGGAGGGGTCAATGGCAGCACAGGCTATTGCTATATTAAAATTTCTATCTATTTTCGACTTGTTGAGCTGATTTATTATCCCTTGTGGAAGTGAGTGTAACTGAGAATTTCCAGCTCACTGCTCTAACAGCATGTTAGCCTGTTCTTGTGGACTGTGGAACTGCGGTGTTGTGGGAGCTTTACCTGTTAGCCTATTAATTTTTCTCCATACGTCAGCTACAGAAGTTTGACTATAGATACTTTACTACGAATCTGAATTTTTAATTCTCTGAATTCCTTGTTTTCTTTCAGAAACTGCAGAAGATTGTCTGTCGTCTTATCATCTTTATAACAATTAGCAAGCTCCTGAACCCGTTGATGTTCCTTGGCCAGAATTGGGTCATT